TTAATGTAATAATAACTCCAAGTTCGCTAGAAATATATAATCGTCTCTTTGTATTCCTTTTACGAATATTAAGAATGGGAATAGTAATTAATCATGTCCATCGGCTAAAGATAAAAAATTGGTGCAAATATTTCGGTTTGAAGCGCAACAATTTATTGTAGCACTTCGTGGATATATATTTATGTAGCAATATTATCAACTTGGATATATTTTATGAAACGTTTGAATGGAATAGCAAAAGAAGCAAAATTTGAATTACCACGTGACCATTCATGGCGACGAAATAGCACTAGTGATACTACAAGTCATTTAGATAGTCAATCTGATGCTTTATCTACTACTAATACGGATGATTTTGAGGATGATAAAGATAATGAAGATTTTTTTTGAAGGTGTTAAAGGTCTTGAATCATTGTGTACTTATCATAATCACATTTTAGATCGTATGCTTTTTCCAATGTCTGCTCAAAAAGAAACAAGAGTCAAATATGAAAATTCTTAACGAGATTCAAATTATTATAATGGACTTTGCACGGCTACTTCAATTACGTCGCTTTCGTAGGTATGATACATCTATGAAACAAGAGTTTTGGGAAAAAATTAAAATTCTATATGAAAAATTTCGTTTGTCCACGGTAACGTTCAAAGATTCAACCCGTTTACTAGGGTTGCTACCAAAACCTTTTTTTTGAATTATGATATTAATACATGGTTTAAGATCGAGAATCGAGATTTCTATTTTATTTAGATAATTACCAAAATATGCATATGTCAAATTTCGGTTAATAGTGTCAAACTCTAAAATAAATTTGTTAAATCAATGCTAATAAAACTAAAAAAAATGATTTAGCTACTAAGTAGATATGTTAAATAAAATGATATCGCGCAAATTTAAAACTAAAAAAGATATGAAATTACAAAATATCTTAAAAATACTAAGAATTCATTTTAACAGACTTTTGCAATTCTCCAAATTATTTTCTATTACTGTATTCCCCCATCCCACATCTTACTAATCGTAAGATACGGTGTTTTCGGTGTTTGTTTTGGATAACTTACAGCTGTTTTTATATACCAACTCGGTTTGATAAGTTATTGATTTGGATATCTGGTTTATCAGGCCGAATTAAATAATTATTCGGTCAATTTTTTATCAGCTGTCCCAGAATTTACGAAAACTCAGTTGAATCTAGCCCCCGACTTAACAATTAGTAAAACGGGGAATAAATAATATTTAACTCATTTCTCAATTTACTTCATTGAACAATGCAAGACTTCCTATATCGTTAAAATTCCGAATATATATCTTATTTGTTAAAATAAGTATAAGATTATTAAAAAACAAATTAATGATAATATTTCGTTGAAATAGCGATATTCAAAAATAATTTATTCGGCACTTATTCTTTGATCATTTATTTTTTAATAAAAAAAAATTTTTAGAAAATTATACCTTCAATTTTTGCTATTCATACCCTTCCCTCCCATGCAAAAAAAATTATTTTAGCCACTTGTCATATGCAAGTTGTGTGGCACCCAATAATGTTGATACGCAAACTTGAGCGAAGGCAAATTTTAACTGAATATTATGTTTTAAATGTCATCATTATCTAAATTAATAAAAGTTTTTTACATGGGAGGTATAATAGCAAAAACGGGGTACAATCAAATTTATTACACAATTAAATTTAATGGGAGGTTTCAAAATTAATTAAGAGTATTCATTTCGAATCAAGAATCTACGAATCCTATTTCTTTAACAAAGTTTATAAATTTCATAACCGTATGTTCTTATTTAACTTTCTGATTTTGGAATTTAAAAACAATTTTAAGATTTTTTAAACTCTCGCTTATTTTCAAAATAAGCTAAGGAATTTATAAATTAACAGAACTTTGAAAGTAACTTTGTAATGCTTTTTATTATTCTTCAATATTTAACTTATTCAAATCGCTATCTGTTAAATAAATATAATTAGTATTAAAAAATAAATTAATTATTAAAAACTAAACATCATTAGTTTACCTTGATAAAATTTAGAGGTATAAGTAATAAATTTGCTTTTTGAAACATCAATGGAATATGATTGTATAAGAGTGCTCTTAATATTTTGTAATATTTCATCAGATTTTTCTAATTCTAGTAAAATAGTTT